GGGTGGAAGGCCCCCCACAGGGCCTCCTGGATACTGACAGCCCCCGATGGATCTCCTGGATGGCAGCCTGCAGAAAGTGCAACCAGGCTCGCAGCAACACGTCCACGAGAAGCACCAGAGTGCCCAGGGGCAGCTCTGGCTCCATGTTGCAGAGTGCTGTGGTGTCCCGAGTGAGGGCAACCAGAGCACACAGAGACAAAATGCTTTGCAGTCCCTCATAGAGAGAGGTATGCAAGCAAGCAGGGAAAGCTGGAACTTAACTCAGTGCCTACCCCTGGGAGCTCCCTTGCTCCCTTTCTAATCCTGGGGACGCGGGGTAGTTCCTGCTACCCACATTCTCTACCACCTTGTGACGGCCTTGACACCCCCCCTCCCCCTTTCCTATCTGGGAGAAAGGGGGATGGGAAGATGCGAGTCCGCCATGTCTAGACCTGCCCGCGTCATCCCCGTCCTGGGACGTCAGGTCTCCCGTAAGCGAGGTTCTCCAGCCCCTCGTATAGTGTAAACATACCCTTATAGACAAGCTTAAGCAAGTTTGGAACCCAAAAATCATTTTACATCTGCACTGTCTAAGGAATTTCATGTGCTTTCCTGAAGTCATTAGCCTATTATTTTAGAAGAATATTCCAGTTTCTAATTACAAGGTGTGTGTGTACGTACATACGTACACACACACACACACACACTCACTGTAAGTCAATTTTATCAACATTCTGAGCCCATCTTTCACAGCATAATTGTATAGTACTTAGACTAAGCCAGGTTCACACTGGTAGATACAAGGTAGCACGGGAGCAATAAAACAAGAGCTGATGTCATAAAATTGGAATTGTTTGTTCATAGGATGCAGTGTAATACAGAACCTAAACCCAAATCTGCTACATCCACATGGGACAATAATTCAGCCTACATCAACAATGCATAAATGTCTAACGTGCACATACTAATATTTCTGATGTCTGAGTTAAGGTTTTTGGTCCTAATGCAACTATAAGAAATGGAGTGGAGATGTGTGGCTATTATGGTTTTGTGCATTTGGAGCATAGGTGATCTTTGTAGAGGAGCAGAGTCAGTGAAAGTAGTGATGTGATAGTGAGGGTTAATGGTTTATTGAAGAATGGTTTAAATGGAAACCACCTTGCTTTTAAAGGTTTGGGTAGGTGGGTAAGCAATCTTATGTGTTTAATCAAGGTTTATGTCTGAGGATTAAGTTTGTAGGTGTTTCAAATGCTAGTGAGGGCAGGTAACATAAAAAGAAATTAAGGGTCAAATTGCATGCACAAATCAGATGCTCGTTTTCACACATAACTAACTAGGTGCATTTATTTGTGCAATTACCTGATTTCAACATACAAATATTTGCACATGCAGTTATTATAATCCCATATGAAAGCCAGGTAATTGTGTCTGGCTACCATTTGTAATTTAGGACACCAATTTTGCACACAATTGCTTGTGTACTGGTCTAAAAATCTGGCATTAGCATCATGCTCAGACTATAAGATAAGATGCAAGTTGCAAAAGGAGGAATGTAGAGATGATAGTGGACAGTAAACTTAGCATCTGTACGGTATCAAGAAGCTTCAGAGGGGTAGCCAAGTTAGTCTGTAACAGGAAAAACTTAAAAAACAAATAGTCTGGTAGTCCTTTAAAGACTAACAAAACATGCAGATTTGGGCAGCACATGCAGAGACACTATATCATCAAGCCTATGTTGGCACAATTCTTAAAATCATAAGAATGCTGGAGGAATTGATTTATGAAGAAAGAATAAAAGAAAGAATTGTGTAGGATGACTAAGAGATATTTGAAGGGGGAATGTGTTAAGTCTAGAAATGTTTGAAGGAGGTAAACATAAGAGAGGAAAAAAATATTTATAGTGGAATGAAGGTGTCAAAATTAAAGATGTAAAATCCCATTTAATCCAAGATTAAAGAGGGCACAGCTGGGTAGGCTGCTGCAGACCAGCTGGAGCAGTCCCACCGAAGGCCGGGGTAGAGTGACCCCTAGTTAACCCTTCAAACCCTTAGTCTAAATAAACAAAATAGAATGACATTGAAAGAACATTTTGGCTAAATAACAGGAAAATTTCTTTTCCGTGAGATGTATAATATAAAATTATAGAAGTTTTCCAAGGAAAGTGGACAAAACACCAGAAAACCTATTTTAGGAAACAATCTAACTCTAGCATAGACATGGCCAGGGCAACATATTAGGTATTTTTCATCTCTTATTTCTAGCGTACAAGTGAGATCTGTGCTCTGTTGTGTCAGGATTATTTAATGGAATGCTAACCAAGCTAAAGTAGTGACCAAAAAAAAAAAAAAAGAAAACCACCAAGAGAGAGAGAGATTCTAGAAGACTGGAAAATGGCAAATATAGTGACCATCTATAAAAAGGGAAATAAGAACAACCTAGAAAACTACAGATCAGTCAGTTTAACTTCTGTGCCAGGAAAAATAATGGAGCAAGTAATTAGAGAATTAATCTGCAGACACCTGGAAGACAGTAAGGTGATAGGTAACAGCATGGATTTGTAAAGAACTAATCATGTCAAATCAATCTGATAGCTTTTTAATAGGATAACAAGTCTTATGGATAGGGGAGAAGTGGTGGATGAGGTATACCTAGACATCAGTAAGGCATTTGATATGGTCTCACATGATCTTCTATCAATAAACTAGGCAAATACAACTTAGATGGGGCTACTATAAGGTTGATGCATAACTGGCCGGATAACCGTTCTCAGAGAGTAGTTATTAATGGTTCACAATCCTGCTGGAAGGGCATAACAAGTGGAGTTCCACAGGGGTGTGTTTTGGGACTGATTCTGTTCAATATCTTCATCAGTGATTTAGATATTGGCATAAAGAGTACGCTTATTAAGTTTGCAAATGATACGAAGCTGGGAGATGTTGCAAATGCTTTGGGGGAGTGGGTCATAATTCAAAATGATCTGGACAAACTGGAGAAATGGTCTGAGGTAAATAGGATGAAGTTTAAGGACAAATGCAAAGTGCTCCACTTAGGGAAGAACAATCAGTTTCACACATATAGAATGGGAAGTGACTGTCTAGGAAGGAGTACTGCAAAAAGGGATCTCTAGGGGTCATAGTGGAGCACAAGCTAAATATGAGTCAACAGTGTAACGCTGTTTCAAAAAAAGCAAACATGATTCTGGGATGCATTAACAGGAGTGTTGAGAGCAAGACATGAGAGTCATTCTTCTGCTGTATCCTGCGCTGATTAGGCCTCAATTGGAGTATTGTGTCCAGTTCTGGGCACCACATTTCAAGAAGGACATGGAGAAATTGGAGAAGGTCTAGGGAAGAGCAACAAGAATGATTAAAGGTCTAAAGAACATGACCTATGGAGGAAGAGTGAAAGAATTGGGCTTGTTTAGTCTGGAAAGGAGACAACTGAGAGGGGACATGATAGCAGATTTCAAGTATCTAAAAGGGTGTCACGAGGAGGGAGAAAAATTGTTCTTCTTGGCCTTTGAGGATACGACAAGAAGCAATGGGCTTCATCTGCAGCAAGGGCAGTTTAGATTGGACACTAGGAAAAACTTTGTAACTGTCAGGGGGGTTAAACACTGGAATAAATTACCTAGGGAGGCTATGGAATCTCCATCTTTGGAGATATTTAAGAGCAGATTAGATAAATGTCTATCAGGGATGGTCTAGACAGTACTGTGTCCTGCCATGTTGGCAGGGGATTGGACTCAATGACATCTTGAGGTCCCTTCCAGTTCTAGTGTTCTGTGAAAAATCTTGTCTTCTTCCAACTCTCCCTGGTCTTCTCCACCCTTTGCATCAAGACAGTGAAGAGGAGTTGTAGGGCTTGAGAAAAGTAGGTTAATCCCCTACCAATGCCTCTGAATGAAAGTGCTCTGAATGGTGAGGTATTATGCACCATCTTTCTTGTTGCAGGTAATCTTGTGCGAATTGTACCACACGGGCTGCTGGTGTTCTTCCCTTCATATCCAGTCATGGATAAAAGCCTGGAGTATTGGAGAGTACGTTGGTTCTTTCTTTGTGTGTAAATTGTAGACACGCACTTTGGACTGAATTTTCACACACAGTTGCTTATATTGGAGTTCCCATGACTGCAATCTAGCACTGACTTTCACAAATATCTGTTTATTCATCTCAGTATTCATTACTTCCATTCTCTATTGGAAAATTTACCTACCGTTGCTTGGGTCTTTCAGAGCAGGGGGCTGGTAATGCAGCAGGGTGCAGGACTCAGGGCAGGGCCTTGGGAACATGGCAAGGGAGCTTGGCAAGTGAGTGTGGGGATGCATGAGTCAGGGTTGGGGATGTGAGGAGGGGTTCAAGCCAGGGGGCTGGAAATGTGGGTGTTGCAGGAGTCAGGATTGGGGGGGTGAGGAGGTGCAGAAGTCAGAGCAGGGTTTGGGGGTGGTTGGTGGCTGCTCCCTGTGGCTGGCCTGGGGAAGTGGGGACCCTGTAGCCTGGCTGCTCCCTGGGGCTGGTTTAGGATTGTGGGGGCCTCGCAGCCTGTTCTGGCTGGCCAGCAGCTGCTCCCTGGGGCCAGGCCAGGGCAATGGAGGTACTGCCCAGATAGTGGCTACTCCCTGGGGCTGAGGGGCTTGATACCCCCACTGTGGTCATTCTGGAGTATAAATGTCCCTGCTATCACAGCCCTCACTTTCCATTTGATGAGAAACAATCGCATTCCATGCACATCCCATTGTCCTGGGACAACCAAACCCTTACGTTGCTTTAGGATATGAGAGGAAGCTGAGGGTCCTAGCTCTTACTGTTTAGGAGCTAGTTCTTGAGCAAACAGACAAACAAACAAACTCAAATATATAGCAGATGCATTTGTTGTAGTTTGTACTTTCTGTTGGTTGCTGTTCATCACATCCCCTGCCTTTATTTTTGGGTGACGTCAGGAACATTTTTCCATTGTGAGTTGTGTGTCCCAGCAGAAGCCATGGCAGGACATTTCTCTAGGAAACTCTTGCTTTCCTTCTAAGGTATCAGCTTGGGAGCAGGAAACCAAATATTCAGTGTAGCTTGCAGGAGAAGCACAGAGGAGGCAGATGTTGACCACCAAGGGTATGGAAGTTGACCTATTGGCATGGCTTCTGAAAAGGTGCATAAAGCAAGGAGATACTGTCTTGGACATTGTGTCTAACCTACCACTATTGGAACTTCTGCCTGGAGCTCCAGGAAATCCCTAGTATTGGTAGCTGTATTCCCTGTGTCCAACTCTGAATGGCAAAGGAGGAATGGGAGGCATATAGTTGCCGCTCCCTGTGGCTTCCTTTCCCATATATTCTTCTGACTTACTTGCTGTTTGTTTAATAGGAGCATGACTTTGCCAAAAGAATAGAAGAGGTGAAGCCAATGTTTGTGGAACCAAGGAATAAAGGGACTTTCACAGAGGTTGGTCATTTGTGTTGTGTGCGTCGCATATAATAAATTCTCCTTTATATGGTTAAATACTTCTCTCAAGATGTGTTTGCAGCAGTGACTACAAAAAAAGCATATTGCTGGGTTAAAACCAAGAGAGCTATGAGGGCCCTTAAATTACAACTTTTCCCTTTTCCTTACTACCTTCCTTCATACTCCATTCTCCTGAGGAGGTGCACTGAACACTAATACTGTCATGGTTTGAAATCTGCCCACATTCCAGATATTAGTAACATATGCTTAGACACTTGGGTACGGATATGGTAGAAAAGCTTAGCCCTGCCTGTCAGTGCAGCAGTAAGCATTGGCAATCCAACTCTTGGGTGTTCTGCAGGCTGTTTCTCTCCAGCTTGTTGCACTTTGCTTTTAGTATGAAAATTTTCTATGTAATTACAGAGTGTATTTTTTATTCAGAATGCTTTTAGCTTTTAATTTGGCTGGACAACACTAACTTTTGCCCAGGGGCTCAGTTGCTGCCATCGGGACACCATCAGGATTTGTCTGTGGAAGCAACTCAACTGGAACATCATACCTGTGATACATTCCATTCTTTCTATGCCAGGATCAATTTTCCTGTGGGTTGGGAAGCCATTTGATTTGGGTGTAAAGGGCCCCTGGAGTGTATCCTGCAGTTGGAATTTGGAAATGCATTACTTTTTTTTTAAAGTACACACACCCTCTCTTAAAAAAAGAGGATGATTTAGAAGCAACCAAAGAAGAAAGGCAATGAACTCTAGTAGAGGGAATGCGGCAAGGAGTCCTGTGGCACCTTATAGACTAACCGAAGTGTTGGAGCATAAGCTTTCGTGGGCAAAGACCCACTTCATGGGTTGCTTGTTGTTATAACATATGACATGCATCTGACGAAGTGGGTCTTTGCCCACGAAAGCTTATGCTCCAACACTTCGGTTAGTCTATAAGGTGCCACAGGACTCCTCGCCACTTTTGAAGATTCAGACTAACACGGCTACCCCTCTGATAGTAGAGGGAATGTAAACTCTTACAACGCTTCAGTATAAATACTACTCTCTATTTGTGTGTGTGTGTGTGTGTGTGTGTGTGTGTGTGTGTGTGTGTCTGTCTGTCTGTCTGTCTGTCTGTCTGTCTGTGTTTAGATAGTGTTTCTTGGGACAGTAATTGTAAGGAAAGAGGAGGCCAACTGTACAACTATCATACTCATTGACAGACCATTTGTCGAGAGAAAAGAAACACCTTCCTAATTACATGCACTTGTTTTACCTGATGGCCTACATTATTGTTTACAGTTTAAATTGTTTTTACTGAAAAGAAACAATTACAAAATTAGATTGAAGTGGCCTAATTTAGAAACAAGATTAGATTATACAGGGTTTCAGATGAGTTTTCTTCTGTA